CTGTCTATGCTGCCAAGATTTTTGCTTTCAGTTCCCCACCTCTCATTAACACCTGCTCCTCAGTGTAGGCAGGCAACTAAGGGAAAAGAGTGAACTGTGATCTGTTCCTCCTCCTGTTCTATTTGATAGGATGAAGAAAAGGTTTTGTGTGGGAAAAGGTTAAAGTTTTTTTTTTTTTTAATTAAAGGCTTTAATAAGGTTCAGACATTCCTTTCCTTATGCCTGCACGAAATTGAGAAATTTCAATTTGGGGATATGCAAGAAATATGGAAAGAGGAACCCAGATTCAAATACAATCCTGAATTCTGTTTTCACATTGCATGCTTGTCAAACACATCAGTTTTTAATTGCTTCAGGGATTAGGTGTTTAAGTTTCACCTGTTTGTTTTTTTTTTTTTCCTTTCCTAGCATACCGAAACATCCACTGATTTTACTTTTGTGATTTTAGTATTTATGTTTTTCTTTGTAGCTTTATTACTGGTATGTGCATAGACAAGTTTAGTACTATTCTTAATAACCAAACATTCCACAGCAGACAGTGTTAGGGTCAGTGTTTTTGCTGAGACCTACCAACTCTTTTCACTGTGTTTTATAATTGATTAGTCTGCCATCACCTAATGGTCCAGAGCCATTTCTTCTTTTTTTTTTTTTTTAAGATTTTATTTATTTGAGAGAGAGCATTAGAGGGGTGGGGAAGGGGGCACAGAGGGAGAGGGATAGGCAGACTCCCCACTGAGCTGAGGGGTGGGGAGGGGGAGACCAACAGAGCCATTTCTTATTCATAGATGCTTCTTTTCAAAATGACGAATAATTCTCTAAATTAGCCACTTCCATAAAACCAGTGTTTTGGCTATTTGCAATGCTTCTTACTTTCAAATATTCATAATACTCATTGTATTTATCCTGTTAGGGACCATTCTAGTTTATCATAAGTACATGTTTTGAGGGTTTGCCAGGCATTTCTGTCTGAATTTCCAGCCTGGCAAAGCTGGGATTTTATGAGCCTTGTGTAATATAAGTCAGGGCAGCTGACTCGTTAGTCATTTGGTCACCTGGAATCCAGAGGATGTGTTGGTTTGAAAGGTGTGTTTTCTGTTATCGATTCTAGCTTAACCTTCAAGACTCAGCCCAAGTGCTAAACCTTTTGTTGATTCTTCTCCTCTGAACAAGTCACACTCCCCTCTGGGCTCACATAACACTAGGATCATTATAGAACTCATTCTAGCTGGTTAAATCATGTCAAGGTGTTTAGGTATCAGTTTCTCAAGACAACTTTTGAGAGCTTATTGAGAGCAGAGAATATTTACTTATTAAGCATCTGTTACATGCTATTTACTATAGAACATGGATATACTTATTCCCTTATCACAGATGATTGTGGCTCCAATTTACACAGTTAGTAGATGAAGGAATCAGGGTGTGAAGCTGACTCTGCTGTTGCCCCACTGCCTGCCCAGTGGTTGGCATAAACTGTGCAGACTGGGGACAGAAATCAGAGTTCACCTGAGGCAAGTAACGCTTCATACTGTTATCCCACTCCAACTAACAGCACTCACTTTTTCAGCTGTCCCCTTCATTCATTAAAGCCACAAGCTTCCTTTTTAAGGAGAGGCTCAGGGATTTCTGACTTTCTTTATCCTCTTATATTCATTTGTTGTTCATTGTTCACTTGTTTAATTCATAATTATGAGGTCACTATATAACTGGCCTTGTTCTATTGCATAGCATAAAATGACAAGTTCCTGGTATCATGATCTTCATATTTTCACCAAGGACACAGAAAATAAATAAATAAATAAATAAATAAATAAATAAATAAATAAATAAGCAAACACACACACACACACACACACACACACGTGACCTATATGTTACAAGGTGATAAGTGCTGTGATAAAATAAAAAGTAGATCAGGATAAGGAAGTGGGATGTATGGTTAGGGGACAGTATTAAATCAGAAGTCAGATTCCAGCTCTTAGAGAAATCAAGATTTGAACCAAACCCTGTAGGATGTATATTCCAGGCAGAGGAAACAGCGTGATCAAACGCCCTAAGGTGGGAGTTTGTCTGCTGTGTTCTAGAAGTACCAAGACTGCAACGGTGTCTAGAGTCGAATGAAGAAGGAGAACATTACATAATAAGAGAATAGAGTGGTGCTATGATGTGGGCAGCCAGCCCTGCTTTAACAAAGCATATTCAGGGAATACCCAGTGCCTCCAAACTGATAATTTGGGATTGCTCAGTGGTCCTAGCCCAGATTTGTCTCCATTGAGTCATCCTCCAAAAATCAGTGGCATTGTCTGGGCTTCGAACATTGCTTTAGCCAAATTCAACCACACTCATATGTATCCTTATTTCTGTAGTGTTTTGGTCAATCCCTTCTCTTACATACTATTGATCACAGTTGATAGCAACTGGTTATACGATTCATAGTAGGTACTAAAGAGATGTTTATCTGAGAATGAATAGATATGTGAGTGAATGAATGAATAATTAATTAATTAATTAATTAATGAAGAAAGATTTAGTTTTACAACACAGATGGACACTCCCACAAATAAATTTGTGTTCTGGCTGTAGACACATAAGCTATATATTTACTTATGTTGAATTAAATATCTGGAATATGGCTGAGTGTTGATTGAATGCTGATTATTTTTCAATGCATCCATGTTCCATCAAAGAGAAATCAGGGACGATTTTCAATTCTTTACCCTCAGAGGATTCTTACTAAAAATAGCTTGTTTCACCTTGAGTGGAGTCCAGTTAAAAAGAAGTATTTAAACCTAATCTCAGGGGGAAAAAATAATTTCCTTTTTAGCTGATTTATGTATGTCTACAGTATGGTGATTTCATTGTCTTGGTACAGTCTTCAACTTCAAATGTCAACTACAGAGTTATTCCCTTTGTTGGACTTAACCTTATTTACAGTGGTAATTTGTTTCCTTAGCTCTTCTGCAACTCAGTCAGTCTGTGGCATTTACTATTATTATAGTGGATGTAGATCAGAGTCCCTGGATTTGTTTTAACCTTTTCTTTCCACAGTTTGGAATGACTTCTATACTATTAAAAATGCAAGTAGATTGTTCTTAGTATATGGTTATGAAACTTTTGTAAATGTTATTTTTTTAATTCCCGCATAATACATAAATGTAAAATAACAGTTTTGAAAAACATGAGCTGATATGCATTATATATTTCATAGGAAAAGCCAATTTGGAGCATTTTATTTTCTCTTAGTCACTTTTTGCTTGATAAACAAATTCTTTAAATCTGAGACAAACAAATACAGTTATAGATCTATGGGATGTAAAGCCTCAATAAAGAAGAATTACCTACCCTGGTAGGATATTAGATAACAATTCTTTTTAATTGTCCTATCAATTTAAATCCATTTTCCATTTATTTTAACAACTATTATAGTTAATTTAACAAAAAAATTATTTCATTTCAAATGTCATTACAGAGGTGTTACTTTATAATTTTCTATGCCATTATTTTTCCATTATCTAATCACTTATGCCATTAAGAGCCTTCAATATTTATTCAATAAAAGCATAGTGAAATGGAGGTTTTTTTAGTGCTTTTCATTGTTGTCATATAAAGTGCCAGAAATTTTAATGACTGTCTTATCATAAAACAAGTATATGTTTGGGTGCCTGGTGGTTCAGTTGGTTAAGTGTCTGCCTTCAGCTCAGGTCATGATCCCAGGGTCCTCAGATCAAGCCCCACATGGGGCTCCCTACTCATCAGGGAGCCTGCTTCTCCCTCTGCCTGCCACTCCTCCTGCTTGTGCTCTCTTTCTCTCAAATAAATAAATAAAATCTTTAAAAAAAAAAAAGTTTTTTTTAAAAACTAGGTAACTAAGTGGATGGTTTATTTTAAAAAAAAATAATTTCTTAAGCCAAGTAAGTTATAGAAATTTCCTATGCTTTTAGTAAAAAAATTATTTGATATATATGTATCTTTCCAAGTAATTTGCATGGTAATTATTATAATTTTGAAATGCAGTGAATAATAGGCTACAAGTATTTTACTAAATGTGTATTTAATCATATTCTGGAAGGATTTTTTTTTATTTTTACACTTTAAAGAGTCTATAACTCATTCTTTGAAAGTGGCCCTGTAATGATTTTTAATAATTATTCTTATCATTCCATAGTTTAAATAAAAGTGTTATAGGCCATCATATAGTATAAATTCATCTCTCAAAATAGAAAATCGCCATATTTAAAATGATTTGATATTCTGTGATTTGTCATAAAAATAAGGCAAAATACAGAATCAATTCCTTGTTTTTTTAGACTATGTACAGGGATGATTCATTTCTTGTGTGTTACTAGCCTCATTATCAGTTAATAAGTGCCAAGAAGTATGAGAATATGACAAGGTAGCCAGAGAAGAAAACATGAAGGACAAGCATCTAGCTCCTTTTTGCCTTATCCTCTGTTTGAAATTATTACATAAATATCTAATGTATCTTCCTGGTAGCTCTTGTCTGAGAATTTATGGAATTTTCTAACAGCTGTATTTTTAATCCTGTAATGTCGGAAGTGTCTAGGTCTCTATCCAAATGATTGGCAATACCTCTCTGTGCTAGAGAAACAATGACAAAAATGAGCACCCCAACTCCACATGAGCAGCACTGTACTTGTGCTCCGCCTGGCTCACCTACAGCTCTTCCACACCCTTTTGCCTCACCCCTACTCTGGCTAGTCACCCATTAGGCGCTAATAAGCTAGGGAACAACTGTTAAGTGTACAGTCTTGGAATAGAACAAAACTAATGGCCACATGGACTGGACTTCAAGAGCTTTGCCTCCTTACCATAAATCAATAAACCTTCAAACATTTAAAGAACAAAATTGATTGAAGTAGAATCCTTACGGTTATTTATTACTGTCATAATAAATTAAGGATTAATATGTTTGGACTTTCGATATGGTTGATTGCATTTTCTAAAAAAAAAAACAAACAAGTTTTTCTTTTTCTTTCCCATAGGTTTAGGCTTCAGTATTGCAGGAGGTGTAGGGAACCAACACATTCCTGGAGACAACAGTATTTATGTAACTAAAATCATAGACGGAGGAGCTGCACAAAAAGATGGAAGGTTGCAAGTAGGAGACAGACTGCTAATGGTAAGTGTGACTCATGCAAAACTATGTGTGTATTTATAAAGCTCTTGTTTTCCAGGGTATGACTGTCTTAGTTCAGGCTGTCATAACAAAATACCATAGACTAGGTGGCTTTCACAACAACAAATTTCTTTCCTCAGAGTTCTGGAAGCTGGGAAGTTCAAGGTCAAGGTTCTAGCCTATTCATTTCCTGGTGAGATCTCTCTTCCTGGCTTGCAGACAACTATTTTCTTGTTGCATTGTAACATTGCCTTCCCTCTTGCTTGTGCTGAGAGATCTTTCTTTCTCTTCTTATGAGGCCACCAATCTGATCGGATTAGGGCTTCACCCTTAACTCATTTAATTAATATCTTTAATTACTTCCTAAAGACTCTCTGCAAGTATAGTTGTATTGGGGGTAAAGCTTCAGCACATGAATTTGGGGGCTGGCCACATTCAGGTCATAACAGCGATCACAGGTAGAAATAGAAAAGAAGAGAGAGAGATTTTCTGGTGGGAGATTTCAAAAGTACATGTACAATCATATCTGCTTTGTTGGCATTTTAAAAACAAATCTGAATTTCCACTAGTTTTCACAGATACAACAAAACACAGATTATGTTGGTTTTCCAGAGTGACCTATTAGCCAGAGAGAACGTCACATCCAGACTGCTGAAGGTGGGCTTTGCATAACAAAGAGAACTTCACTATCTGGTTTATTGATATGTACATTTCTATGTCTCTTTGACCCTTGTTCAACCCATACGGTAGTGTAAACAATCCCTGATTTCCCAGAATTCATAATCTGAGTTCTGTCACATGTATAAATGGATCCCTTCCTCCTCCCCCATCAGACAGGGTTGAAACAACAGCTATTTTATTTGCCAGCTGCATGCTTCAGAAACCGTGGACAATGACTAACAACATTAATACATGGCTGACCTTTCCAAGCCATGGAGTTCTAGAATAAAATAAAACAAAGTTAAGATAGCACATAAACAGTACAAATTTGGAATTGCACTTAATAAAACTACCTTATCTTCATTTACGATTTACCAAATCTACAGGATAATAATTAAATACTGAAAATTAATAGAAATTAATAGAAGAGAGCTCCCAAATAGAAGTATATTCATATCTAATCATATGTCTGCTCTTGTAAACCACAGCCTCTAATCTCTGCAAGGAGCCATTATCTCCAATACTTGTAAGAAGTGTTTGGAAAAGATCAATTTATATCCTCAACAGAATAGTAATTTCTATGACATGTGCAAGTTTTGCAGGGTAAACCTCAAAGTGCATTGTGCCCACTTCCCTGGCCTCTAGGCAGTTTATCTTTAGTCACATTGGTCTAGTTTCATAGATGTCAATGACCTTGGTATTGCATTATCTGAATAAGACCTTTATAATAATCTTGATAACTAATATTTGTTTGGCATTTGCTATGTTCCGTGTACTTTTAAAAGTGCTTTTTTCTAATGTAATATAATTTCTCATAACAGTCTTTTTTATGTAAGCAAAAAGGAACTGAGGCTTAAAAAGGTTTATTAACTTGCCCATGGTCATATAGTTAAAAATCCAGGCACTCAGGCTTATAACCACCAAGCATGATCTTTCATTTGTTTCGTAGAATCTGTCAACCAATTCTTTACTTCCTTTTTTTTTTTTAGTTTTCATTCAGTCATTCATTAATTCCTTTAGTTAACAAGTAATATGATGAATATCTACCATATCCCAGGCAATAACCACTACTCAGGAAGGGACTCTGTCAGGAGACAATGTATGATCAAACTGGATGGGCAAAAAAATGTGGCATTAATGACTTCATTCAAAATATCAACTAAGAGTTTTGGCTTCTTTACCACCTGAAATCATTCTCTCTCTCTCTCTCTCTCTCTCTCTCTCTCTTAACCATTTTGTAGTTAGTATAGTTGTATATAGTTGATTTATAAAAAGCTTAACATAGGGATCCCTGGGTGGCTCAGCGGTTTGGCACCTGCCTTTGGCCCAGGGCATGATCCTGGAGTCCCGGGATTGAGTTCCACGTCGGGCTCCTGGCATGGAGCCTGCTTCTCCCTCTGCCTGTGTCTCTGCCTCTCTTTCTCTCTCTCTCTCTCTCTCTCTCTCTCTGTCTATCATGAATAAATAAATAAAATATTAAAAAAAAGTTTAACATATTTAATGTGTATAGCTGCATGGGTTTGGATATTAAGTATACATCTAAGAAACCATCACCATTATCAATGCCATAAGTATATTCTTGACTTTCCAAAGTTTCCTCTCACTCCTGTTGTTATTATTTTTTATTATTATTTCGTGCTTGTGTGTGGTGAAAACAATTAACATAAGATCTACCCTCTTGGAAGATTTTAAGTATGCAATACACTATTGTTAGCAATAAGACTATGCTGAACAGGAGAACTACCATTTTCATTCTTGAGACACTATCCATTTTTTTGTTTGTTTGTTTGCCGGTTTTTTTTTTTGTTTTGTTTTTTGCCTTTGATGTGAAAGTTGTTTTTTATGATGTGGTGTCTTCTGAACCAGAAAAGTATTATTGAGGTATAACACCTAACACTTCTCTCAAAAATATAAACCTTATTATTTGTTGATTTAGGAATAAAATAAACTGTGATATCTTTTACATAACACAAAATTTGAAAAAAATGAAGAGGACAGTTTCATTCTAAATTAATAGCTGCCATAATGACACATTTGAACTTTAACTCATTGTTCTGTAAGAGTTTGGTTGTAGACAACTCTTTTGGTATTTCTTTAACTGCTGCTATTTAATATTATGTTAGATGTTTTCTGCTGATTGAAGTTCCATTTAAATTTCTAGCTTTATTTTAAAATTCTTAAAAAAAAACCCTCAAACTGTAAGTAATTCTGTCAAAGGATTTTCCAGGCACCATGCTATTTTTCCATTATCATTTTCTTGATATTCATTGTACATGTAATGATTTCAAAAATAGCTGAGACATAATCTTTAACTATTTTGAGTTTTAAAGCCTATTAAAAAAAAAGAACCTTCAACAATAATAGGTCTCTCCTCTCTTATGTAAGGAAAACATAATTAGTACTTCCAAGGCAACTGCCAAACTGAATCTAGAAATGAAAGGAAATGATTCATTTTATAATGTTCTGAAAGAAAAATAATGCTGAGGAAAATAATAAAAAAATCACGGAAGCCACCCCAAAGGACCAATTATCTTGCTTCAACCCAACAATATTTATTAATGCTCTCCTTCTGTCATTCCTTTCCACCTCCTTTTCTCTTTATTACCCTGCATTCACATCATCTTTATCTTTCTCCTCTTCCACTCTCCTCCCCCAAAGGAAGTACAAATAATTTAGATTCCGTGATTTACCAGCTGTTCTGCACTCCGTATATTTTTCTCTAAATAGCTATTCTTCTTTCTAAAGCAATTTATACCACTCCCTCCTCTCACCTCTTCGGAAAAGTTCCCCTATATGTTATTCATTCATAGTTCTGTAAGCAAACTGGTCTAAAATGAAACTCCATTAATTTCCTCATGCCATATCTGCTGGGTACTTTTTTCCCCTAAGTCCTTCTTATAACTCAGATTTGAAAAATATCTATCTTAGATGTTATCTTATCCCAATTTATTTGGTACATCAAAATCCACAAAAAGGCAACATGAAGTAGCCCCTCACCTCTGCTAGAACACACTAAAGATGAAGAACTTAATTCCTCCTGGAAGCTCCCCATTAGATACTAGCCATCATTGGATTTGTTTTTTCTTAATATTGTATCAAAATACATTTCTGTATACATTTCTTGCTTTCTTCACACCTCTGTCCCTTAGAGACAGAAAGGCGAAAATTAATTGCTCTTCTACGTTTGTTTGAAAACTTATGTCTTGCCACTTTTCCACTTCACAGCATTTTAAGATGTTTTGCACATTTTCTCTCACTCTTGCAGTCAATTTTACCACATATCCACTTAACTTCTCTAAGTAGAACACCCTTTTAACAAAACTTTTGATTCCTTAGAATGTTGTTCCCCCGCTTCTAAAACCACAAGCAATATTGTAGCATCTGACCTTTACATTTATTCTACAATAAGGAAAAAAATTGCCCGGCCTATCACCTTTGCACTAAGACTCTCAGCATTTCAAATAAAATGACTTTTACATCAGTCCTCTCTGATGTTTCATGGCCCATCCAGATGCATGGTATTTGTTCTATTTATTAAAATAATATTTTTAACTCTCCTGCCACTTGGCACTTATTCAGTAGAATTTGGGGCTTTTAATTTTGTCAAATGAAAATGACATCTGATTTTTATGGATCATACCAGTAGTTTAGTGTTGTAATCTCACACTAAATACATTAATTTCTGGCCTTGATTCCTTCAGACAGATATCAGAGGTTAACAGTATTGATAATTTTAAAATCCATTCATATATTTCTACACATTGGTTTTTATTAAGCCCTATCAAGATAATACCTACGGCCACATATATTACAGAAATGTGCAAAACATGAGAGACACCTAACTCTGGGAAATGAACAAGGGGTAGTGGAAGGGGAGGTGGGCGGGGGGTTGGGGTGACTTGGTGATGGGCACTGAGGGGGGGCACTTGGCAGGATGAGCACTGAGTGTTATGCTCTATGTTGGCAAATTGAACTCCTATAAAAAAAAAAAAGAAAAAAAAAGAAAAGAAATATGATCATCCTCATTTCTTTTCTACACAGAAAAGAAACTTTGAATCCAGGGTCATCTGACTGTCTTTTCTACAGGGATAATGTGAGCTGTTAATTGTCAAAACCTTTGTCACATTGTGATCGAAAGCTTATAGTCTTTTTTTACAAAGATTAAGTCTATATTTTTATTTCCTTAAAGGGAAGCAGTAGATAAGGAGGAAGGTAAGAAAAGCATTGAAGTGAAATGGAAATGCAGTGGGCTCAGAGACAGGCAGCCAGAATTAATTCAAGTCCCAGGCAGCCAGAATTAATTTGACCTAATTGACCTTGGACAATTCATGTACATCTTCGGT